TCCTGAGAGCTTTGGGCACCAAAGCACTCTAGCTATTGTCATTGGAACGTCGGTCTCCTTCCCTGAAACTCTGACACTAGGCTTTCTCCCCTCTTCCTCCCAGCCTGCTCCAAGGTCCCAAGATACATTTAGCCCAGCCTGGAAGGGTTAAAACACGTCACAGGTGATTTAAACTAATTTCAGTGGTAGCTGATGGATTTTAAAGACCTGACCTTCTGTGAATTAGGAATATCTACTCTCGCTTTCACTTTATTTTGTAGCCATCGTTTGGCTACATGGGTCTGACTTCTATACTCCCAGTAGCATTCATCACACACAGTCTGTCCTCCCAGCCAGCCTGCAAGGATTAGGTCGGTCATTTTTTTTCTTTATTATTATTTTTATTTTTATTTTTTTGGGGCCATGCTGTGTGGCATGTGGGATCTTAGTTCCCCGACCGGGGGAACCCATACCCCCTGCATCGGGAGTGCAGAGTCTTAACCACTGGACCACCAAGGAAGTCCCAGATTAGGTCTGTCTTGATCACTGTTGTACCCCTATTCCCAGCACGTTGCCCAGCACATAGCAGAAATTAATAAGCATTTGCAATGAACACATATATGATACATGTATGCAACCTTCAAGCAATCCATTAGCTTAGGAAATGAGGTGATTCATCACATATTTGAATTTATTAATTGGCTAATAATACTGATGCATTAGATAGCACATTTACATTATTTCATACTTATACTGTAAAGCACAAATATATCAAATAATATGTTTTTATCTACCATTTTAACTTCTGAGAAATTTTTTTCCCTTCAAAAGAATATCTGCTAAATTTGCTTTATAAAATCCTGAGTGAAGAGAAGTGAAAGACAGCCTCTCACTGGAAGCAGCCCTTCATTTAACAACTGAACTCTAAGAAATATACATTTTCTTAGAACTCACATTTATCAGAAAAAAACTCCGGAAAATTGCAGGTAACATATATTCCGATAGTTTCATTATGTTTACTTAAAACTAAGAAGTTTATGACTTTAAGGCAAAGGGAACAAATTATTTTTTAAATGTTCAGTCTCTATATGATCCCTGCTGCCCCTACTCTCCTATCACAAATAAGCCAAATTAATTTTCCAATTTCACTTCCAAACAACTCTCTTGAATGACTGTGTTTATGATTTGGTGTCTTTGTGTGCTAAAGACAAGTAACAGACCAGTTATGGAAAAGAGGAGAAAAAAATTCCTTCCAGTGCTCTCTTAAGACCATGGCTTCCTTTCTAATACATATATATATGTATGTATCAGGACCAAACAGAGTCACAGGACACTGGGTTCAATTTTTACTTTGACAGTAGTCCCATGTGACTCTGAGCCAGTTCTTTCAACACCGTATTTCCTCATCTGTCACATAAGAATAGTAAGATTTGCCCTTTACCAGTTTCCAAAGATGTTTCCATATCTGAAACATACTTGGGACTCCCAAAATAGGTTTGATTATTTTGTCTTACTCCATCAAAATCTTAATTTCCTGCTTTTCCAAATTAGGGATAAAAATATTTGCCAACCTTGAAAGTTTATTATAAGAATCAAGTAAAATAATGCACATGTAAAAGCTTTGAAATTTGAAAATGTTTACATGTGAAAGGTCTTGTTATTTTAATACTTTTGCAAATGCATGTTTAAACTAATGCAAGTTATTCAAAAATGCAGTGAGAAATTTCCTTCTTTTGGGTCTCCTCTTAATATGAAGCATGGAAGGTCTGGTGGCTAAACGCATTATCAATAAAACATGCATGTGGAAAAAAAAACGCACGTGCTTGGAGTTCTTCGTTCAGTAATAAAAATTAGTTTGTACCATGACATTCATATTCAGTTTAAAAAGTATTCTTAAGTGTTCACTATGTGCCAGATACTTACTAAGAGTTGGGGATACTTAGCTAAGGCTGCTATAACAAAATACCATAGACTGGGTGACTTAAACAATAGACACTTATTTCTCACGGGTTTGAAAGCTGGGAAGTCTAAGATCAAGGTGCCAGCAGATTCAGTTCCTAGTGAGAACTGGCTTCCTGGCTTGTGGACAGCCACCTGCTTGCTGTGTGCTCACATAACCTTTCTTCAGTGCATGCCCAAGGAGAGAGCATGATCTCTGTGTTCCTCTTCTTCTAAGAATACTAATCCCATCATGGGTACCCCACTCTCATGACCTCATCTAAACCTAATTTCCTCCCAAAGGCCCCACCTCCAATTACCACCACATTGAGGGTTAGGGCTTTAATAAATTAATTTGGGGGACACAACATTCAGCCCATCATAGGGTATAAAGTCAAAGATGACAGTGTCCCTGACCTCATGGAGGCCTTATTCCAGTTGAAAGAAGACATAAAGGAAGGACCTCAGTGCAGAGTGTTAAATGCTATGAGGACACAGAAGGGCCAGGAGGAGATGACATGTGTGCTGAGTTAAAGGATGAACAGAGAAGTCAGCCAAATAAAGGGAACAGGAAGGAGTATTCCTGGTAGAGTAAACAGTATAGGCAAAGGCCCTAACATTGGAAACAGCATGGTTTGTTCAGGGGAAAACGCAAACAATATTATAAAAGTGTAATGTGCCATTTGAAGAGTGGTGGGAGAAGAGGGTGAAGAAAGAAAACATTCCATCTAAGAGGACCACATGTGCCTTTCTAAAGAACTTGTGGTTTATCGCATTGGCACTGTGCTTCTCACACTAGGGTACTCAAACCCTGGGGACAGGCAAGGTTAACATGGCCCAGCTTCGTGGATCCTCAGTTTTACCCAAAACTATGGGAAAGAAACAAAGTTGAAGCTGAAGTAGTATTATTTCAAAACACTCTTTGTAAATATTAAAACACCCATCCTTAGGGTTACATCCTTAGGGTTACCTGAGTTGGAGATGCACAGCTGGTATGTAATGGGGAATCGCTGATGGCTTTTATGCTCAGCAGTGACACAGTCAGATTTATGTTCTAGATCAATCACTCACTCTGGTAATGGTATGAAGAACAGACATGAGGGAAGAAAGACTAAAAATGGGAAAGTCCGTTAGGAGCTGGGCATTTCCTCTTTCAGGAAAGAGATGCTGAGTAGCTGAAACAGGGTAGGGATGTAAGTGGGGAGGATTTGAGCACATTTGAGGAACTTGTGGAAGTAAGGTCATTAGCACTTAGTGATTCACTATGGAAGTTAAGAGAAAGACAGGAGTCGAAGGTCAACCCAGGGTTTGGGCTCAGGAGACTGGATGGAGAGTGATGCCCTTCAGCAAGCTGGCGAACATGGGAGAAAGTGAAGTTAGGAGAAGATTACAGCTTCAGTTTTGAACATGTACAGTTCTACATACCCATGGATCTCCTGGTGAAGATGCTCAGAATTCACGGCTTCTCTGATTCTCCTCGTGAAGGTGGTCAAAATTAGTGGGGCATTTTGCTTTATCTCCTTCACAGCTTTCAGTGGCCGTCTCTGGAGTTCATACATGACCTCGTCTCAGCTCGTAAACTGTTTTCTTTGATGCCTCTCGACCCCTACGACAGAGTAGTAACTGCCTGGGCATTTTCTTAGAGTAGCATCAACCCACCAGTTCTGTGCAGTTCCCCAATTTTCTGACCTTTTCAATGGAACAGTATGTGTGACTGACATGATGCCTGCTGGTAAAGAAGTAAACTAGAAGAAAATCCATTATCATATCACCCACCAATCCTTTAGCTCCTAAGTCCCTATTTCTGAACTTTAGTTCACCTCCAACAACTTCTTCATCTTTTCCAATCTAGTTCCTGGTCTCCCAATTGTAATAAAATAGATACTGATCTCAGGTGGGGAATAAGCATCAGAAACAGATGAACTCATAAGACACAAATCTTATGTCCCTATCCCCCTGTTTTCATGCAAATGTCCCCAGGAATTAAATCAGGAAAAGAAAATGTAGCAAAAACATACCAGCCAAATGGTTTCAAAATTTCAGAAGAAGCTGTAAATATGGTCCTTTTTAGAAGATCAGGTTCTCACTAGAGGATGAGAAAGGGTAACAGTTGTTCTGATGAAGCAGTTTTTAAATTCTTGTCAGTGATTTGAAGAGAGATAACTGATGTATGTTCAAGAAGCTGGCAAAATTTTTAAATAGTTCGGACGCTACAGGGAGCATTTTTTTTTTAAGCAATGTACTCAGAAGTGTTGGCAAGACTTTATTTGAACGTAGCAGTGCTTATGTGAGGAAGTTATTTTGAATTACCCTAGTATAAATATGTATGATTTTATTTGTATTGAAAATTTCCTTTGCAAGTGAGTGACTGAGGGACTGTTATATCGCTATTGCTTGGTAAATGATTTAGGTATTTCATTTTGGAAGTAAAATATTATACTCAGAATTCAAAAATAATATCAAAATCCTGTTTGTGACCACAGTGCTTTTTGCACCTACATTAATGCCTTTTAACTCTTATTTGCCATGTAGAACAAACGGCATCTGTTGTTTTAAGTCTGGCTTTTTTACATGACATTCATGCATGCATGCATTCATTCATCCAAAAGACATTATTCAGTGCCTCTCATGTTCCAAGCTCTATGCTAGGCAGTGGGCAGACAGTAATAGTATTGAACTGTCCCTCCTCATAACGAATTTCAGGTAAACATTCTGTTTCCTCCAGGTAATTTTCTGCAGCACAGTGGAAATCTCAAATCCTAGGGTCATATCTTATTATTTAAAAGCTAAGCCTTTTGAAGGTTTTGAACAAGGGTATCTTTAAAAGGTAGTTTTTCTTCTGAATAGAAAGCATGGAAAGAAAGATAAGAAGAGGTAAGGGCCCTGAGTGAGAAACAGGACTTGAAGCAGAGGGAAGAAGAGAGAGGGGAAGGGGGAAAGTATTATAATCAGGACTTAATACTTTTTGCCTCAGTATCTTTGGGCAACCAGTTACTGGTCTACATGAAAATGAAGTTGCTGGCAGGAAAAACACCCAGCCCACTGGCTGATGGAGCCTGTCCATCTGAAGAAGGAGCTGGAATTCCCTGGTGGTCCAGTGGTTAGGACTCAGCACTTTCACTGCCGAGGGCCCAGGTTCAATACCTGATCGAGGAACTAAGATCCCAAAAGCCACGAGGCATGGCCAAAAAAAACGGAAAAACAAAACAAAATTCCCCATCTTCTCTGTTTTCTTTATTTACCCATTGTGTGGTATTAGAGGGTGAGGGGATCATTTATCTTAAATTACAACTACACACCTGCCTTCTTAAGCAAACCATACTTTTAATAGTCTACTCCATTTTTTCTTTATGATTTCCTTCCTTTTTCAGAGAAAACCTCTTATTAAATTTTAATATATTTACTTAAAAATAAACCATGAAAAGACTCATCAGAGCCATTTAAAGAGAAAGACAAATATATACACACAATTCTGCATTTGCTCCTTCATTTTTTTTTTCAGAACGTGTGTAAAATTGACACACAAGAAGGGGAATAAAACAGTTTGTGTTAGTAATGTAATCTGGTACATAACTTGATGAAAAGGAGGTTGTGCCGGTCTAAGTGTTCCATGGTCCCCGTCTGCTAGGCTCATCTATCCTCACATTTTTTTCAGCCGGGCAGCTTGACTTTCGGGATCTTAGTTCCCCGACCAAGGATTGAACCCACACCCTCTGCAGTGAAAGCACCACTGGACTGCCAGGGAATTCCCATTATCCTTATTCTTATCTCAGGCCTTTACAAGTGCGAAACAGGAGATCAGTTTACATCCCTTTAAAGCTTCTTAATGAATGGCAGACTCCACACACAACAAAAAATATTTCCTATATAACAGGCACTAGTCCAGGGGACTGGGAAAGAGACATTGGTGAGAGGTCACCTTCCTTCGTCAAATAAATTACTATTTAGAGATCCTAAATGAAGCAATGGTTTAAAATTTTCCAAATGATGTTACTTTGCTTTAATATCGTAAAAAGCATTACTTTGCCCCCAATTCAAAGTCCAATGTGATTTCAAATGACCTTCGCAGGCATATTTCACCTAGCCTTGAACTCCACAACTACACAAGAATCCTCACCAACGGAAGCAAAACTTCAATAGAGACCATCTCTACAGAACTACTATAGCAAATTATTGTAAATAAGTTTTCAATATCCCAGATAAATGCTAAATGATGGTAGGTAATAATATAGCTCAGGATCATGCTGATTTCTCTAAAATGAAATTCCAAATACACAGTAGATAGATAGACTAAACTTTAGAAGAACAAGGTTTTAGTTTTTCATTCCAGTTTTAAAAGGCCACGTATTGTCTGTGAACTTTCAGCTTCGTTCTGTCTCTCTTGTCTAGAAGGGTGCTAGCCATGAGCCAAGAACAATAGGTAAGCCAGCTTCCCTCAACCCAGAAAAATTACCCCGTTGCACAGGAGCCATACCTATGGTTCCACAGTGGCCAAGGAAAAACCTAACAGGAAGCGAGCTTTTTTTTTTTTGCGTGTAGCAAAGCTACTTCCAGAGAGAGCAAAAGAAGCCTGGTTTGCACTGTAGCAGAACCATTGGAACAATATGCTCCCTGTGTCCACAACCCAGTCCTCCCCTGACACCCTCCTTTCTAGGGCATAGGGTAGAAAAGTCACATACACAGTAGATCATGCCAGGGCCTGCTGACACAACCCTACTCCTGAATTTGCAGGCGGCAGAGTGTAGCAATGTCTTTAGTATACACATATTCTTACCTTCTTTTTTTTTAAGCAGATGTTTCAGCACTCAGCTGGGGGGGTGGGAAGAAGATACTGCAGGCAAACTTTCTCAGTGCTATTCCTTCCCTTCCAGAACCCCTTTCCCAGTTCCTTCAAACTTCGGAAGTTTGAGTTAAGAGTAGGTATAGAGCTTTGGACAGTATTAAGGGCCTCTTCTTTTTACCTTGAATGAGTGATCTTTGACATTTCTTGGCCACACCAAACTGGCTGCCAGAGTGCTTCCTCTTATGCCAGGTCATATAGGGAGAATTAGGTGGAAAGATATTTTTTCTTACAATTGTAAACAGAAGTGTGAAATACAGAATGAAATTGTAAAGTATATTTATTTACCTCAGAGGTTAGAATCGTGATGCTTATAATCATGAGCACTCCACCTTTTCTACTACAAGTTAAGAAATTCCATATTACTTTTGCAACTTTGTTCTCAGTAAGCATTGATTTCTGTAAAATGCAAGAACCAGTTAAACAATTCCTAATAAAATCATAAAGTAATTAAAGTAATTAAATAAATGGCACTAAAATAACTAAAAATGATGAAATAAGTATCATCTAAGATACATGTTACATTCACTCTGGTTTTCTGTAATTTAACTTCATGTATTTTCCAGATAATTCATGAGAAGGAATTCCTATTTATTGATATGCCTACCCTGTAGCATTTTACATATATTGTCATATTTTTTCACCACAGCCAGCTTAAATTTAAGTCCTCTTTTGCTCATTTTAAAAATGAAGTTCTCAGGGGCTTAATATCTTGTCCTCAATACACAATTAGCACTCACAAAGCAGGGAGTCAAATCCAGTTCATCTAATTTCAAAGCCTATATCTTTGCCACTATAATATGCTATAATTGAGGAGAATGTAAAGAATCTGGTGTCAAATACATTGAGGTCCAGTTCCCAGTCAACAAGCAATTTAAAAATTATACAAGAAAAAAAACAATTTCCAGATATGCCTGTATCATGATCTCTCCTTCATCACTAACTTGTCCTGTGCTTAGGTCCAGTACTGGGACCAATGTGAGCAAGCAGGAACTTGCCCATGGGAGTGTCCCTAAGTCAAGGGTCCTGGTGAGAAGACTGAACTAGGAAAGACACTTTATCTGGGAAGCCAGAAGCAACAAAGCCAGAGAAACCATTCTACCTGAGCCAATACTATAACTGGAGAAATGAGCCTAAGTGCTAGATCCAAAAGGCAAAATAAGCCACACATGAAAAAACAAGTACTAACCAAGTCATCCAGGAGGTTTGGAAGTGGGTCACAATGCAGTGTGCAGAGTGGGTGGGCACAAGTGGTTCAGAAGGATGTCTGCGAAAGGTGAGAAGACATTGGATGTCACCTGTATGTGGTGCCTGCTGGAAGATGGAGCTGGCAGATTCAAAGGCCCGTGAAGAACCAGACACTTGAATTCTGGAGAAAGTCGTTGATTCTCTCTAGGTCACATCTACACTGCCAGGCCTAGAAAAGCAGGTTTTTTCCTTAGCCATTATTATTTCATAGTTGTGATTATCATGAAGAGAATAATTTTTGAGAGTAAGGTTTTTATATTTAAGTACCTGAAGCATGACTGCAAAAAAAAAAACAAAAAAAAAAACACTTTAGAACGGTGCAAAATTAGAACTAACATCCAAGATTTATAATTTCACCTTTTAACAGAATAAGGACTGTTAAAGAAGACCACAAAGCAGCATGAAGTTATTTCCAGGTCACTAAACAATCTATAGGTGCAAACAGTTTTTGGTCCCATTGCTCTTTACAAAGGAAAAGAAGAAAAGGGTACAGGTCACTCTGAGCCCCTCGGCTGATATCCAAATGGCCCTTTTGGTAGTTTCAACGTGAAAGAAGCATGGAATGGATCCTTTGAGAAAGGAAACAATTAAGGGACCCTTTAAGTGTTTTGAGGAGTCTTAAGGAAAACAACAAGAAAAAGAAGTCAGTATTGGGATTAAATATTGCAATAGTTTTTTCCCATAAGCATCTGCATTGACTTTTCAGCTTTTGCATCAGAAAGAAAATCTGGCCTTCTGGATGTTTAAGAGACTGAGGAATTTCATTTTCCATTAGTAAACTGATTTTCTCCCCCACTATAGGTACTTAGAATTAGCGCAAACCCCAGGATAACTACAATTCCAAAAGGAAATGCTCACTCAGCTCATTATGAATGGTCTTACAACAAATACTGTTCTGACAGCCAAATTCCTGGTCTCCAAATTTGTAAGTTTGCCCTTTTTTTTTTTCTCACAAGTCTTACTCAAGACTGCTTCTGAGCTTCTGCACATTTAACCCTTACAGTCAAAGACAATATGTTACTAAAGGACATGAGAAACTTCAAGTTCATACATTTGGACTAAAAGAAATCTGATATTTATAACCGAATTATGACCATATTGAATACGACAAATTAATTCTTTAACCAACAGAATAAAAAAACACTATTTATTTTCATATCTGTGGCTACGAATTCTTTGAAGAGGTCTGAAGAACTGTAAACCAGCCAAAAACCCTATGATGCTTTCCATTTTATTTCTTCACTTTAATAACACAGCACTCACTTCTCAATAGAAAAATGACGAATGATACTGAAAGGTAAATAGCTGTTTTTAACTAGTCAAAATTAATTAAATTGTCCTCAATTGATCCGTATATTCCATGTTATTTTTTCAACCTTTCATTACAATAATAAAGCTACACTATAGTGAAGTTTCAGGCACTACTTTATTTAGTTCTCAAGAAAACTCAACAGAATGGGCACTATTAGTGTACCCACAACATAGCTAAGGAAACAAATTTAGAGTAGATTGTCGGTAATCACACAGGTAGTAACCTGCAGGGTTAGTATTCAAAATAGATTCTTTGGACGTCAACTGACACAGGGGTATAAAAATATCAGGGATAGGCTTGCTTGATCATTTTAAAATAACTTTAAATCATCCCATATATTAGTAAGTAAAAGTAAAAAATTATCTTAAATTCAGGTATGAATTATTTGTCAATTACCTCAATTTTCACTTTTTGACATGTGTAAATAGACATAACCAAAAAGTTCAATGATCAAATTCCAATAAGAAAAAATGGTGCATAATTAGTGCACATCTCTGCATTTGGGGAGGAGACTGACTTGATTTTACATAGGGTATTGTTTTTCCTCATTAACTGTAGTTCTGTCACATATTTGTACCTGACTGCTACATAAATGATTCACAAATTGTTAAGAAGTTTTATGGATATCTGGAAAGAATACTACAACCCAATAAATAAACTTTTACAAGTGCCAGAGAGAAATTTTACATTAAAATGTTACTTTGTTTCTTCGTCCTGAGAGAATGAATTAAAAAAAAAAAAAGTTAAAATCAAGCA